AGACTACGTCACAAGAGCATCGGCGCGTGCTGGCATGGCGAAGGAGGGTGCCGAACAAGACGCACCCACACGTCCCTTTAGGATTAGGCTCCGACGTGACGGAACTGCAGACATCGAAGATGTGAAAGAAGACTTGGGGGAAGCACTGGGCAGATGAACTCCGACCGTTAAAGGATGCCGTCTTGAGGCAGCTGCTCCAGTGTCCACGATGTTGTTGTGCGAGTCGTGCATTCATTCTGACGGCCACCCAGACGGTGTAGATTCAAAGTGAAGTGCATCAGTAGCGGCGTGAAAAGCCCTACGACAACGGGTGCCAGGTGCGCAGCAGTGAGCAACGAGACACCAGAGAAGGGTAGCAGCCTCAGCAGAAGAGGCGCCGGGATCAGACAACACAAAGTTGAGATAAAAACTGAAAAGCCAGAGACATCACAAAAAAGGCCCCTGCTGCATCAGCCATGACAACGAAACCATTGCTCCAAACATCTATTCTTCTCATCATGGGAGTCCGCTGGAGCGGTGAAGAAATTTGCCGGGTTGAAGCGTACTGGTTGCAGAAGACCTTGAACACTGATGGTTTGCAGCCAGGACCTGCGAGATTAGGACGAGCTCCGATGTTTGTGCCGACGTGATGATTGACTCCATGATTGACCAGTTCAGACGTGGCAAAGGTGTGTTCCGAAATACTGACGCGGGCGCGGGGTGATGGTGTAATGTTGCCTACCAACAACCCAAACAAGCCAAGAAGACCAATTTGATAGATGTGTGTGTGTGTGTGTGCGTGTGAACCCACGATGGTTTGGATCGATCTTGCGTGGCTCGAACATGCTCAAGTCGCGGTTGCTTCCCAGAGACTTGCCGCGCACTTCGCCAATTTGTGTTTGCCATGACGCTGCTGGCCTTGGTGCTGGCAGCTTTGGCAGTGGTCCAGAGCCGGGCTGGAGGACTAAATTCCGCAAAGCCCGACAATCCAACGGCACGGTTGCTTGATGCAGGCTTCCTTCTCAAGGTTCTTGAGGGTTCGGGTTTATGTGTCATGCTTGCGTAAGACGCCCGCAGCACAAGAAGTATTCCAAGTCTTCAACAACTACTTTGTAATTTGTGACACCTTCAGCTGCATGATGGACGAATTCCTCAGCAGCAGTAGTAGCAGCAGCAGCAGCAGCAGCAGTAGTAGTAGTAGTGGTGATGGTAGTGGTAGTAGTAGTGGTAGTGGTAGTAGTCGTAGTAGTAGTCTAGTATGGTGGTAGTAGTACAGTAGTAGTAGTAGTAGTAGTAGTAGTAGTAGTAGTGGTAGTAGTAGTAGTAGTGGTAGTAGTAGTGGTAGTAGTGGTAGCAGTAGTTTCTATGAGTAGTAGCAGGAGTAGGAGTACGAGCAGGAGCAGGAGCAGGAGCATCATCAATCGGAAGGCCGTTCTGGTTGGTGCTCCATGCCCCACTTAGCATTACATTACATGTCATGTG